CTCCTTGGGATGTGAAACATATGGGTGTTGGACAATGTATCATGGCAGCTAGGTTAGCTTTCATCTGGGAATAGCCAGCGAACCTGCAAGCTACCTGGAGGAATGATGAGCAGCTTCTCAGATGTGCTCCTCAAAAGACCGGGTCTTGCTCGTCCCAGTGTACGAGTGGGATCGAGGACCAGACCTAAAAAGTACGGGATAATGGTACGGATACAAAAGATACAAACAGGTATGTCAAAGAGTGGACAGCAAGGGAGGCGAAATTCGCAGCTCCGGCCCTCGACTTCTTACTCAGAGTAGCGAGCAGCAACACTGTCTGCACAGTTTAGACTTCGCCAACAGCTGATTACGAAGAGGTGGTAAGGATTACTGTCAAACCCTAGCACTTCGGGCGATCATAGCTCGTTGTGCCTAAGTCTAGTGGCCCCTTCCGGGATGCAGTACTTTCTTGCCTTCCCGACATTCAATGGCATTCAATCTACTCAACAGCGGGCTTAGATGTTGGCATTGATTCAGACTCTCTTCTTTGAGAAGGTCTTTGTTGATCTCCAATGAGCTCCGTCCCGTGATCGAGGGGCTCACTGAGGCTTCCACTACAGGCCGATGCGCGAGCATGGAGCCCCAGGTCTGGTCATTTGTCAAGCGTTTGCTGCTGATCTTAGAGCAAAAGAACCGAAGCCCTGAAAGGAAGGTGATCAAGGTTTTGTAGGAATTCAAGATTTCATGTTGATTCCATTGCACATCAAGGAGTGCTACTTTAAAAGTCCTCTTTCTGAAACGTAGCTTGGAACAAGAACTCTGTGGTGCAGTGGTGACTGGTTCCGGCCGCAATCGCCCTTGGGCAATGATGACTCGGCCGACCAGAGAGAGTGACCACAATGATGGCGTGAAGATGGGTGAAACTTGAGAGCTTTGGAGTGGCATATCTCACCAGATGAGTGGAACATGTGTAACGACGGATCAGCACCCAGAGTCTTGATTAATAGAACCCCCCTCATTTGGATTGTAAAGTATTTATTGATCAAGAGTCTACATTCATGAACATCCATGATGGTTTGCCACTCACAGGGTTTCCAGCTGCGGGGTGATCCACAGCTGGAACCTGCATGGGCCCTGCATGGGCCTGTGGTCAGAAGGAAGGGCTGTGGTGTTCTCGGTTCTTTCTCCAACACAGTTGTTTTGGAAGGAGAGGAGCGTACCTGTTCCAAGCTTGTGCAAGCTCCCAGAGGGAAACCCTCGTGCACAAACTTCAAACGCTCGCAATGACGGGTATACCGGCAGTATACCGTATACCCCCCTTCAACAAACATGGTTTCGTGGACGGTCCTCTCCTTGGTCTTCGGATCTGGGTCTTTCCAAAAGCCATGCCGTGAGGACGTCACTTCGGACGTTGGATGTGGTACCAAGTCAGTCAGACTCCGACCGGTACGAGCACTGGTGCATTGAGCGTATGTACAACACGCCTGAGGCCTGGCAACAAGGATTCTTTTGGTGGAGGAGGTGGGTCGGATGGAGGGGCGATGACTCCACTCCAAATGGTTCAGTGGTTCAGCCAGAGCTTCAAGAGGTTCATGAGCTTAGGGTACACGTTCGTGAGCAGGTCGTGGATTCTGGAGGAAGTCCGGATGAACTTGCTTGACATTTGGACCTTTTGAAACCCTAACAGTCCTGGAATGTCCTGGATCTGATTTCAGCAAAAGTGAATCAACGCACCCAAACAGAAGGGTATTGGCTGAGTGACCTCCGTTGCTTTGTGGTCAACGTGGTAGACGTGACATCGACCGTGTCGATTCTTCGTCGCTGTGTGGTGTAGAGGAAGCAGACCTGCTTGGAAAGACGGGTCATGTGGGATTAGGTGGTGGCTTTGGTGGATGGAGATCTTGCTGCCAATCAAAGCGCAATTCAACTGAATCATTTCCTGTATGTTTGGCAACCACCCGGAAGTGCGGAGTGAGCGGAGCAACACCCGCTACAGGGGGGAAGGCCTTTCCTACGGCTGGGGGGACCTGGTCGATCTCGGCGGATGGTTGGAAGAGAGGAGCAAGTTGACCTCCAAACACTATTGGAGGAAGTTGTTCTTCGTTCGCTTCTTCTTGTTCCGTAGCGATGGCGAGTTCGCCACGTTCGCCCCGTTCGGTTCGCGTCCGATCGCTCCGGACTCGTAGCGATGCCACGTTGGCCCCGTTCGTAGTTGAATTCCATAGACCAAAAGAAGGACCAGGGGACCGAAAAGAAAAGGATCTGGGTCGATGTGAAGTTCTTCTAATCTCCAATTCATCGAGAGCATAGACACAGATCGTGCGATCAGATACCACTGCCAATGCCTATGGATGCATGCATATGCCTCGTGAAGATTCGATTTCGGGTTCGGCACTGTTTATGAACATATATATATATATACTGTGGTATTTCCATGTGTTTCCATTTTCCCCAGAATGGTTCAGCTCCGACACAGTTTGAGACAAACCATGCAGGCAAAAGTTTTCTTTCCCCAGAACCTCCACCGGACTTCCCCCAAAAAGGCATGGCTTTGTGTGTTGAAACGGCCGTCCATGGCTTTCGCGGGATTGGTGGTATGCAGTGCCTGCGAGCGATTGGGGGGGATTCTACGCGTGAAACTGGGAGAAGTGAAGAGGAATGGGCCACGGATGTTTTGAAGGAATAGGTCTTTCTTTCAATGAAGAAACACCACCATTCATGGTAGGAACCACCAATGGAAACCTTATGTTTAACTTTTTGGGCTTCACAATCAATTGTGGACGAAACACCGTCTTCGGTGACACGTGGTTTGCCATATAATGCCATATAAATAGATTAAATAGATTCAATTGAGTATCCTGGCCATATAACAATAGCTCATATAGTATCCAATAGATCATATATTTTTTTGTTCGCCCAGGACGGTGCCTTGCTTCACCGACTGCGGCACTGCCCAAGACCGCAGCTTGCACCACGAGGAACTCGTGCAGAGGCGCCGCCGAGAGGGAAACTCGGTGGATCGCCGGGAAACTCGTTCCGACAAAGGAGGTTTCCCCACATCTGATTGATGCAGGAGGCTTCCCGTTTTCCCCATGTTTTCTTACGGTTTCTTTCGTTTTGGCTTTTCGGGGTGTGGACGTTGGCAAACAGAAACTCTTCTCGATTTGGGGCTGTTCTTCCCGCGGGAACGGCGTTGTTTGGTCTTGCATGGTTTTGCACTTTTCACCGTGGACCTTTGCTCTCGGCAAGTGCCACACGGGACGAACGGGTGCGAGCGATGGCATCGGGTGAAGCTTTCACCGAGGAGGGACAGAGCTTTGGACAGAGCAGAGTGGTAAGCCTAGCCCGTGCTCTTTGAGATTTTGATAGATTTTGTATTGTATATACTTTAAAGACTTGATATTCATCATCTCGATGGCATCTTCGATGAATTGACCGTTCTTTTCAGCCAGGATGTTTTTTGGTAGTTCGGTTGCTGGACATGTTTTTTTGTTTTTTTTTTCCAATCACATTGTTGTGATCTGAACTTTACTATTCCTCCTCATGGTCTTCCCAGGCCCTCTACGGCACCCTCTACGGCCAGCGTTTGCAGGCGGCCGCGCAGGCCGATGTCCGGCAGTGAAGAGCTGTGGAGACTAGACGTGAAACCTTCCATGTGAAGAGGTTTGAAGAGGTTTTCTCATCCACAGGTTGTATCTATTTGTTCATTCTTAAATGATGAATCATACACACTGCACACACATGGCCCACACGTGGCCCACACGTGGCCTCCGCCACAGTCAGACTGTCCGAGATGATGGGGCGAACAATTGCCGTTGAACCGAGAAACTGAGTCGGTCCTGAACTGGACTCTATACTGGCGCCGGCCAGTGGTAACCCCTCCTTCGCCAGATCCACTTGCAATATGCACCGCTTAGTTTGCGGAGGGAATAAGGGTAAACTTTTCAGAAGTCCATGATGAGGTGTTGGACTTAGTGTTGCATGGCTGAAGATTTCATCGCTTCTTGCATGCCTCTAGCTAGCCGCTTTGAAGGCTCAAGGTTGCATGTGTATTGGCACACATAGGCCAAAACCCACCGAACGTTGGCCATGGCGCGAACTGCCGGCCTCTTGATCCTGTTGGGCATCCTTTGCCTCCCACGCGAGCCGAGCTTCCTCTTCGCCGGGCGCGGGCGCAGGCTGCACATCGGGCGCCCCCCATTCAGTGCTGCGTGCGGAACCGTCCATTGGGATGGCGATTTCAGCGACCGTCAAGAAGTTGGTGAAAAATGGGGCCGTGGTGGATCTACCTAAACAGAAACCGGGCTGGATCCATATCAAGGAACTGCAGGAGGGCTACACCCAGAAGGTGGAGGATGTCTTGAGTGTTGGGCAGCAGATCGACGTCAGGATCTTGAAAGTGAAACCGCATGAGTTGGAGGCGAGGGAGTTGCGAAATGAAAGCAAAACAACAACACATGTTTCAGTCTCGGATGTTGCAGGGGTCAAATCTTTGGGTACACTCTTGGGTCGAAAACACAAGCAATCGGGACACTTGAACTTGAGACACATGAAGCTTGGACAAAACATGAGGACACTGGTGTGGGTCGACCTCCCCTGGATAGTTTGAGACACATATGTTTTTCATGTTTGGGAATGGACAACTTGCCAGCAAATCATGGTAGCAAGTCACGGAAGGTAGCCTCGGCTACCTTAGTTCTCCTTGCATTAGCAAAATGATGTAAGGGGTGGTGGGATGTTCGAGGGGTGTGATTTCGATCGCTTTGGTAGTATTCAATTATT